ACTAAAAGCAGGTACAAGCCTGGGACATTTTCCAGACAACATCACATCTGCACATGTGCAGTTTATCAGTGAGAACCAGTGAGAACCGACATGTAATCTTATTCAGCACTTTAATGCATTTTCTCATCCAGTCTGAAATCATCTGGGCTGTTAGTCACCATGTGATGTTCACCTCTGCAAATAACGCGACTGTTTTCTCTGCTGGCACACCTGCCCGCTGGCACACTCTTCAAACAACTACTGAGTATTTTCCCATTGATGGGGACAGATATGAATCTCTCCTGCCATCACGCATGATACCGAGATGAGAAGGGTATTGTCTACACCTGCCAATGCCTACTGGTCACTCTTGGCAACAGCAGAGCTATTTTCCCGCCTCTGACTAGCAAAGACAGCATGACGCATATTTACACATTTCACAGGCTCTTAACAATAAGCACCCAGTATCTCAAATAGACAGCAAAGTCAAGATGTGTCAGAAAAAAACAAGAGAGAGAGAGAGAGAGAGAGGATTAGAGGTAATGGTGATGCAGGTAGGGAATAAAAATCCAGACAGTTAAAGAAACCAGGGCACCAGACAGACAACTAGAGCATCAAAAAGCACTTTAATCTGCCAATAAATGGAGACATGCTTTTAAAAATAATTGTAGGAAATCACACATAAGAGCAGCTAAAAGCCTCTTTTTATACAGACACATCAAATCTTTTATCAAATCCACTTCACCATCAGGTTATATAAACCTGAGATATTTTTGAACTTCCACGATTTTGCAATTTATTATCATGTGGGCTCTCTCTATACAGATTTAGAATAACATTCATTTCTGAATAAGACTCCTCCAGCTCTAAACAGCCAGACATATAATAACGTAATGGCCATGGAGCTTAAAGCAAACATTCACACCCTTTTTCTCAGACTACGGGGTTTTCATGTTGTCTCAAAAACACACTTTTTTACTACCCATGTTAACTCTGAAACACTCAAAACTGTAGGTAATATCAATTTAACCAACTATAGAGCAGAAATAACACTGTTTAAAGCTTTCACATGTTCATAAAAAACTAGGGTATTTGTGTCTGACTTTGTGATTTTGGTGCCTTTTAGATCATTTTTTTATTGCAACTATCAAAAAAATAATATGACTCAGTGTGCAATTAATTTAAATAACAGATCCATAGAGTATGTGCATGCACTTTGTTCACCAAGTCACAAAGAGTGCAAGTTTTAACTGATGAAACTCAACCCTCTCATCTCAATGTCGACTCTTGTGGATCCAAAATACCAGGATGTCAGCGACTGTAACATGTAAACTCAAGGCTTTGAAAGAATACGCCACAAACCGATGGCTAGCCAAAGAACGACGTGCAAGACCACGAGAAGCCATCACCAAAATTAAGTTCTGAACATGCAACACTGCTGTTGAAATATGGTTAAGAATGTGTGTAACAGCTGTTACGCTGGGATATGACATGCAGCTACCTGAAAGCTGAAGAGAGTATTTAAATATGAGGTAAAGTGGCACGCAGGTTTGGCAACAGTCTGTAGCACAATCCCTCCAGTCTTATGGGAAAATTATTATACATGGACCCTAGTTTTGTTTTAAACATTATAGACTGAGCAGCTTTGACGAGGTTTCGGTTTTGCCCTGTCCTAAAAGTATTTTGTGTTTTGTGTAATAAAATATAAAGTTTCGGTCTGTGCGACACATTTGCAAAAAGAACATCTCGATCTGCTGCGTCCACTTTTCAAATGCCATTGACTCCCTCTCTCAACCTGTCTGGACAGCTTGATGCTGAGTATACGCTGTGCGTGGGATAGAAGTCGCTTCTCAGTACACGATGGCCTAAAACGTCCATTGCTGGAGTCAACAAACACTAGTCCATATTCAGTATTCTCATTTAGATTTACAGTTTACAAATGACACAGACAGACCTCCCGTGAGCTTTATATTATTCCTAAATGCGCTCTGACACTGGATTTAGGCATCCAACAGCAATTCCACTGTAATAAGCTCAAGTACACCAGTAATATTTGTTGTGTTTTTTTACTTTCACACACACTTCTTTGATAGCAAAAATTCTCTGTGACTGAAAATCAAAATGAAGATGACGTCTTTCACAGTGCCCACTCGCCTCGTCCATTCTTAAATTTTCCGTCCTCATTTCTCCCAGATCTCAGCTGTCTGGCTTACAGCAGCTGTTGCTAGGCAACAGCTAACACCCACCCATATGAATATTAACACTTATATCACAACAACACTGTCAGAACAGTAAAATAAAGGACAAAATGCATGCTGTAAAAAGATCGAGTTATGCATCCTTTTTGTGACTGAACATGTAAAACAAGCGCCGATTTACGGTCATTTTAGCTGTTTCGAAACATTTATGTTTATGTCACTTGGTTTTAGCAACTGAACATCTGAATCAAATGAAACCACAAGCACAAGATGATGCTTCTCAGCTGTAGCAGGTTCTAAACTGTTCACCTCTAAGCTCATCAGCGTTTTTCTTTTTTAACACCGGCATGTTTTCTCAATGTTCTAACCTGCGATACAGTGACAACAAACACTTGGCAGTGGAGCTTTTGAACACCCGAGTCACATTTAGATCTTTTTCTATTCTTTTTCCGCGCTGTTCTCTGACTCACAGATAATAAATCTGTTGCAGTGACACTGAAAACCTGTGCAGGCCTACTTTTTTCTCCCCAATCAACCAATAAAAGAATCAGTAGTGGTGCTGGGATTAGAAATACTGAAACGAAGGCAAACAAACATGTAACGGGGCCGTGGCTCCAGGAAATCTGATTTAAATCAATCATTGCCACCAACTATAGGCAGATTTACACGCCACACATGCTTTGTTGAAGAATGAATGAAAGAGCAGGTGAATAGGAGGCAGAGCACTGGTGATGAGTTCAGTATACAGAGAGAGGCTGAACAGAAATATGTGTTACAAATACACCGGCACGAATACCTTTCCAAATTCTTTCCTGCTCACTCAGTGATGCTTACACAGAGACAGCGCTGGCACAAGTTAAGACCTGCAGCGAGAGGGTGTGTGTGAGCTGTTATAGGCCTGTGTGTGGGAAGATAGACAGGATTGCTCTGTTTCTACAGAATGACCCAACAAGGAGGGGGAGACAGGCAGCTGGATCACAACACGCTTCAATATAATGGAAATTTCTGCAGTGATGATCTTTAATTGGATGGCTTAGTCACGCAACTCTGACCTGTCACTTTATTTTTCAAACAAATCAGTCTTTAGGATTAAGTTATGACACACTCAGTGAAACACCAGCACACATACATTGTTTTCATTCAAAACTTCTTACAGCAACACTGTCTCAACCTTGATGTCCTCAAGATGAGCGTCTCTCCCTCTCACTGTCACTCGGGTCACCCTCACTTTCACTGTTAGTTTTGTCACATGAATTTGCCCTTTGGGCACTGCTGCCCTTATCCAGTAGTTCTTTTAGTATCTATATGTTGCATCGTGGTTATATAAAACTGAGTTCCACATGTGACTTAACTAACCGTGCTGAGTACAGCTGAAATTATCCTGATGAATGGATAATGAGAACAGGGACATGAAAGTGAAGGCATCCTATGGTCCAAACAGCACTTACAAAATAATGATCCCCATCTTCTTTATCACAATTACAGTCATACACATGACGTTTGTCCTATGATCTAAGGAAACAGCAGGTCTGGAACTCGTCCAGTGAACCGGGAGAGAGAAGGGGAAGTTTCTGAGTCTGTTCTGCTTCTCTTTCTCTTCCTGGCATTCTCTCTCAGCCATCTATCATCCATAAATCAGCATGAGATTTATGGAGCCAACTGGATGTCCGTCTCCCCTCGCCCTCTTTCTTACATTTCCCTGCCTGCCTTCTCATTTGATTTACTAACTATTATTCTGAGGACATATACAACAGTGAAGAAACCAGATGAGCTGACTGTGAAAGGGAGACACAGGGGAAGAGCAAGAGGGAAGCAACAAAATGACAAACATAGAGAACTGCAACTAAACACGCAACCAATGCTGACATGGAGATACAGAGGGGATGACTTAATAACCGATCTGTGGCATTTTTTTATTTCTCTACAAACTAAATAATTCATAATTTGGTCCTTTAAGTTGAAAACACTAAGTAGAAGGCATGCCCACATATCTGCAACGCCTCTAACTGGCATATTTAACAGGGGATTCCTGGCCTACATGTTGCTTGCTTTCTTTTATTCTCCCCCACTGGCCTGTACAGGAGTGCAGCCAGATTGGCACGTGGACCTAGTGAGGCTACAAACCTCCAGCGGATCGGCACAGCTGGCTTTGTGCCCAGGATACAAACTCCTTTCTTGCAGAGAGTGTGTACTCCACTCCCTGCTGCTTCTTTGCAAGCCAGGGCCACTATTGTTGGTGCTGCTGCAGCTGCTGCAAGGGTCTCTCCTCTCCACTGTGCAAAATGACACACATTAGAGGACTGCATGCCCTTCTGTATGACTAAAGAAAAGACTGCACCCAAACTGTACTTCAGTGTTCCCCTTATACCCTCAAAATGTATGTGTGCCCCTTGTAAGAAGGTTAAGGGAATGATGTGATCACTAGAAAACCACTTGTAATTTTACATTTCGGCAATATGGATCCTCATTGTGCGTGGCAGTGGGTGTCCCTCATCTCCTCATTTGCACTGGGCTGATACACAGCCCACGTTAAAAAATAAAAATAAAATAAAAATCACACCATTACACATCCAGCTGATGTATCACAAACATGCCATATGAAAATTACAATCAATGAATAAAAATGCAATAAAGAAAATATGGATAGAGAATCGCCATCCGGCTCTTTCAACGTCCTTTCATTTTACCCTGTTGATACCACTGTTACATTCCGCATGGGCGAAGCGTGCTATCCCCCCTTCAGAAAAAAGAAATCCCGTAGCCTAAAATAAGGTGTGCCATTTTTTTGCGCAAAGCTACTATGTGCCCGAGAGGAGCTCCTACCTGAATCGGGGCGAATCTTTTATACATTCTTCAAAGTCCACAGTCATTTTTGCGTTTTCTCGTTAATTCCCACGTCAGGCTGCCAATGTCATTGCCCCCAACGGGATGTAGCTTGAACCGTGTGGATGATGACTGGTATCCCCTTGACGCGCAGCAGTCTGTCGCCCCTCTTCTGGTGGCACGGTGACACAAAATGCGAGCCGAGTGCGCGGCACGCAGATTACTACTACACTACTGCCGCTGCTGCCCAGACAGGCGGGAGGCGTAGCTGCACCGTGAGCACCGGTGAAGGAGAGAAGAGCGCCGAGCAGACACAAGCTTCCGTAACAACCCAGGAGGAGCACAAGGAATCATGGGAGATAGATAGATAGATAGATAGATAGATAGATAGATAGATAGATAGATAGATAGATAGATAGATAGATAGATAGATAGATAGATAGATAGA